CCTCATGCGCAAGGAGGGCATATTCCGGCGCAAGAAACGGCTGCTATCCTTCGATCCGTATACGGATGCAATGCGGGCCGAGCTGTTGGCGCGCCGGCGGCTCGTCTACGGTTTGCTGGGCAGACACGATTAGGAATGGAGCCACAAAGTGAATATAAGTATAAGCTATAAGGTTTAAGGTTTACGGATCTAGGCTAGACGACAAATTGAGCAACGAGCAAAGCAAAGCAAAGCAAATAACCACCTGAGGACAAAAGTTCAGCATCAAACACACCGCACGCCCTGCACACCCTGCACACCCTGCATACCCTGCACGCCGGCACTGTGCACCCCGCAACCCGCATTCGGCACCCGGCAACCGGCACCGTGCAGCTGATATCCAATCTCCTGCTGATCCACAAAAATGCCTTCCAGTTCGAGTCCACACGGCAAAGGACTTTCAATAGGACCATAGATCTCAATCGAAAACAGTTTAGAAGCACATTTTAGCAACGATGCCAATCGGCGAAAGAAAATGAGAAAATAAAATACGAACAGCTAGAAAGAAGCGAAGGTATTATATGTATATGAATAAGAAGAAGAACAGAAGAACAGAAGTAGCAAAAGGAACACAATAATAATATTTATAACGAGCCCTGCCCTAAAATTCCCTGCCATGCGCATCGTTTTGTATCGTTTGCTGCTTAGTTCAACTATTTAGTATAAATATTATAATATATAGATCTTAAGTTCTATTCTCTTTTATTTATTTATTTAGTTTTTCTTTTTTTTTTTATTATTTTTTTTTCTTTGTGTGTGTTTAGGATAGGATGGTAACAAAGCAACAAAAAATAATCGAGGTATTATGATTCCTGAACGAATTTATGAAATTCATTATACGCCATGTTGTGCTTCATCGCTCATACATTAAATATATTTATATATATATGTACATATATATACATACATATGTATATGTGTGTACACATACTTATATATGTATATAAGTAGCCGTGTATTCCATTGATATTACTCTGTTTATATTGTACTCCAATGTTAGACTATCCTTGTAAAAAGTTTTATACACAATTCTACAATAATTTATTGATATTACAAATAATGATGAACAAACTAGATAATTGTACAAACAAAAAAAAAAAACAAAACACAAAACTGAACAAAAAAAAACCCCACAAAATGTTGTTTGAGTCCGGATTTTCATTCAAAAAGAAAAGGAAAAACTATGTCTTTATATAAATTTTCGGAAAAATGATGTAAAGAAATGATGTATGAATGTATGTATGTGTGTGTGAATGTGTGTGCGTACATATGCATGCATGTATGTTGCATGTAAATAGTCTTCTATACCAATAGCAGACCAGTTTGCCCTGTTGCGCGGCAAATTTAAATAAGAAAACGTATTTATTAAAGCTGCTCTCCTCCTCGATTCTCAAAAATTCTAGTAAGGCCTGCAGGCTTCACCTATGAATTAGTCGCAGGCGGCTTCAACGCTGGAAGCTGAGGAGCCGGAGGAGCATGGCGGAGGAGCACCAAGGGGCGGAGCAGGAGGTATGTAGGTATGTAGGTATGTAGGTATGTAGGTATGTAGGTATGTAGGTATGTAGGTATGTAGGTATGTAGGTATGTAGGTATGTAGGTATGTAGGTATGGAGGTATGTAGGTATGTAGGTATGTATGTATGTATGTATGTATGTATGTATGTATGTATGTATGTATGTATGTATGTATGTATGTATGTATGTATGTATTTATGTATGTATGTATGTATGTATGTATGTATGTATGTTTGTATGTATGTATGTATGTATGTATGTATGTATGTATGTATGTATGTATGTATGTATGTATGTATGTATGTATGTATGTATGTATGTATGTATGTATGTATGTATGTATGTATGTATGTATGTATGTACGTACGTACGTACGTATGTATGTATGTATGTATGTATGTATGTATGTATGTATGTATGTATGTATGTATGTATGTATGTATGTATGTATGTATGTATGTATGTATGTATGTATGTATGTATGTATGTATGTATGTATGTATGTATGTATGTATGTATGTCTGTATGTATGTATGTATGTATGTATGTATGTATGTATGTATGTATGTATGTATGTACGTATGTATGTATGTATGTATGTATGTATGTATGTATGTATGTATGTACGTATGTATGTATGTGTGTATGTATGTATGTGTGTGTATGTATGTGTGTGTCTGTATGTATGTACACATACACATACACATTGCCAGTGGCACGCTTAACTGAATTCTAACCAAACCGTTTTCCGTCAATTTACCATTGTTGCGGGTGGAACTTCCCTGAAGCACGTATTCATTTAGTTCTTATGTGGAGCTTTAAAAATAAGTTTGAAGCAAATCGGACAATGCTTTAAACTTTGCATATAGATCCCTGGAAATTAATTTGCGCGCGAAGCTTCACGCACCAAATTTTCAACCCCTTAGTCCACCTATAAGAAATGGATTTTTCGTGTGAAACACCACTTAAATGAATTTGAACAAAGATCTTTGTAAATGAGTTTGAGGCCGATCGGATGATCACCAATCAGTCAATCAATCGTCAATTTAGCTTGACGCATTAAAGCTTAGATGTGAGCTTTCAGGGCAACAAAAGTCAAAGCTTTCTGATTTGGTTGTCAATGAAACTTATAATGTCCTAAAAGTTGGACATTGGAGCGTTGCAGCTATACGTATCAAAGCTTTGAAAGCCAACATTATCAGTGCTTGTAACTTTTGCGAGCTTTCATTCAATTGTGTGTATTTACATGCATACAAGCCTTTACCGTTAAAGCTTGAAGCCTTGGTAAGTTTTTCTGTTAAAACTTAGGGCCAATAAGCTTAAGCAATAATGCTCCTGCAAGCTTTTAAGCAATAACGCATATGTGTTGCCAGCACACATAGATGGCGCCACCAAGCTCAAAATTAGATGCCTTTAGATTTAAAAATAAAGAACACAAATAATGATTGCTTAAACAATTAGCTACTTAACTAGCTAAATTTGAATATGACGAACATCTATATCCTATATACCTATGTAATATCTATTTCGATTAAACATGTGTCGATTAATGACAATTAATATCCTCAAGATGGTGTGTAAACTAAAGTAAATAGATCATATTAAAAAAATAATTTTTTCTCATTTTAATATTTTTGTCTTTAAAAATCCATCTTTATTTTACTTTTGTACATTAGCTACAGAAAAAAGAGAAGAAATATTTTATATTTATTTTGAATAGTTTTAAAAATACATTCGGTAAAGTACGATTATTTTGATCAAACCTCTATTGAGATCATCTGGGTAGATGCTCATGTGTATATTGCCAGAAGTAAAGTTGAATTGATAAAAGAATTGATAGTTAAGACAAAAGGTTTAATCTCGCAAAATCAATTATATGCACGCATAGTGCAATTCGCAGAGAACAGAATCCATATGTAAATCTTAGCTGATAAATTTTATTATTGAAATCATTTGAAGATGTCTACAAAAAACTCACGAAATACAAACACGTGCTTTTTTTGTCCATACAGCAGTGATTAACAGCTATTGTCTTAACAGGATTTGGTTATGTAAACAATAACGGTAAGTAACATTTTAGTTTTAACAATTTCTTAAGAATATCTTAGCTAAATGTTGTGCACTTTTTAAAAATGGGTTTCTGTTTTTGCAGAAAAATCGTTTAAATTTATAAATGACTCACAAATTACTCAAAAAGTCAAGCACGTGCATTGTTTGGCTGTACAGCAATGCTTAACAGCTCTTATCTTAACATGATTTGGTTATGTAAACATTTCCGGTAAGTAACATTTAATTATCACGTATTTCTTGGAAATATTTTAGTCAAAGGTTTTAAAAAAAAAAACTTTTAAAAATGTTTTCTTTTTCCAGAAAAATCATCCGAGCTTACCACAGTGCTGCGACACCCATTTCATTGCTGCTAAGGGCACCCTGTATGTGTGCATGCATTTAACAGTCGCACTGGCAATACAATGAATAACCGGGCGCTAGGCGTAACCACACCGGACCCAGCCCACAAACCCATACGCCGCCCCTCCCCACCAACCACCCCCAATGACCATGCCCGTTTTGCGGCGGCATTGTCGAGCCGTGTTGGCCGTGTTTTGTGCCTTTTGTTAAGGCTCCTGTCGCGTTGCCTGCCAAAAAATTGTGCCATATGCTGGACGCAGACAAGCATTGCGATGCTCAGCCAAAGCGATAGGCAGAGCAACAGAGACAAACTGAGCGAAAGAGACAGCGGTCCAGAGAGTGCCGAGAGCGGAGCGGAAAAAGGGGGTAAGTAGAGGGCGCTGCTGCTGCTGCTGGTGTTGCTGCTGCTGCTACAAGGGTCCCGGCCACGACTGGATGGTGGGATCCAGTGCGCAGTCGCTGGGAATAGCCGCCACCGTCGTCACATTGGCTTCGTCAAGTTTGTTGCCTGCTGCCCAGATACAGGCACAGCGCAATGCTGCCCAATTCCAGCTGAACGAAGCCGTCGGCGTTGACGCTGGCAGCGCTGCAGCGACCAATCAGCATTGAGCTGCTTGTATTACATAAAGCGCAGTGCTGCCATTTTGTAGGGGTGGCCGTTACGGCCACGCCTACAGCTGTTAAATAATGAAAACATGTCCTACCCATTGAAAATAAACTCTGAAGTTAGCGAAACTCATCATAGAATTCTTTATCACAACACAACGCGCGCTTGTCTAGTTGTGAAATCTGTTCGCTTGCGTTTCGTTTTCAGTTTCGACAATAGTTGAGCGCCGCGCGTCGACCGACCGACCGACCGAGCGACACACATACACGCCCACACACAAACAGACAGACACTGGCACAGCCCACAGGCACAGCAAATGCACACAGAGCCAGCGAAGAGAACAGCTGTGCGAGCGACGGCCGGGCAAACACAAACAATACACGCACGCACACACACATAAACGCAACTCAGCGCGCGAATAGTTAAAGAAAAAACAAAAAAAAAAAAAACAAATCCAAAACAAAAAAAAAAGCAACAAATTCTTGTTGAGCTTTAAGCGCGGCTTGGCAACGGCTAAAGCTCCGGCTCCGGCTCAGGCTTAGGCTTAGGCTCAGGCGCGAAAGCTTCAGAGCGCGCGACGCGTAGCTCGGCTCGGCTCAGCTTGGCGACGGCTACGCTTCGCTTTGGCTTCGCTTACGTCCTAACGGTAAACAGTGCTTGCGTGGCCAGCGCTTAACTCAGACCCAAACGTTGCGTCGTGTCGCGTCGTTGTCTTTTGTCGTAGTCGTTGTCGTTGTCGCTGTCGTTGTCTTTTTCGTGCATCTGGCATCGCTGCTGGACAACGTTGCCAGCCATCGGTCATCGGTTATCGGTCATCTAATTACGTTCAATTACAGTCAGTGAGCAGGCAATTTCATAATTGATAAGCGCGCATTTTGTACTGTTGTTGTTGTTGTTGCTTGTGTCCTGATTTGCAACACACACACACACACGCTACCACACACACACACACACACACAAACACATGCTCAACAACAAGCAACTGCATTTTGGCGACGGCAATTTCCTAACCTAACTATTTTTTTTCTTGTGCTATTTTTTATCAGTTTTGTTGCGCGGCGCAGACAAAACTTCCCGATTAATCAGTGAAAAACGAAAACAGTGTTTGAAATATTGTTAAAGTTAATGCATATATGAAAGCGTATATCTCTCTAGGAAGTTAGATAGTTGGAGAGATATAGTTAATTTGCCAAAAAGTCAACTTTTTTGGTCAATCCAAAAATATATATATATAGATATATTTGGCGTCCTGCATTGCAGGACACTCGTTCAAAGTTGTCAAAGTAAGTGCTTCAAAATTTACTCGCCAACGACATTTGACGCCTCAAGGGCGTTCAAGCTGGAGGAGGATTTCGTCGGCGGCTGCATGACAATGTCGATGTATTCGACGACGGATAAAATGAAAATGTCAGCGCCCAGTTGTTTTCCAGGACGCTACAGTCCATCCTATCGAAGTTCGGAGCAAATGCGGCGCTGTATGCCAAATCCATCTGTAAGTAATATCCCTAACAATACGAAAGTTCATCAATAAATTATCAAAATTTACTCAAATGCCGAAACCCATTCCCCAATCCAATGAGGTTTCTCTGATTTGTGCCGAGAATTTGACAGTTAGGTTAAGCTTTGGGTCTCCAGGGTTTACAATGGATCTGCTATCACATTATTCACACAGTGCTATATAAAACGTCTACAGACACATTCTCTGCACAAAATATAACCCTATTGATGAAGAATCTAGCCCGTAGCCTGCTCCCTGATTCCGTTTTGCCGTCGGCGCATTATTTTTCAAATCTTTACGGTCGCGACTCGTCGAATACTTGTGGATAGAGTATACTGTACCATAATTGATAACACTCAACATAACAAGAACTCGTTTTGTATTCGTAAAATGTAAAAACATTCGTTTAGTGCACATTTTCACAGTTGCAAAATGGAATTATCTATTCTGTCTGACTGACTGATCTGATTACTCTAACTAACTTGCCTCAATGGAGCTCAAGTAATATCATAAATAATATTATCATATCGGGCACATTAGTATATGTTTTAATTAAATATTTTTTCAACTTAATATTTGATATATATCAAGAAAAAAAGCTGAAACTTATGTAGTGCCTCTTTCAGTTGTACGCAAAAAAGTATGCTATAGAAATCGACATGCCTTTCTTTATCGAATTAATACCCTATCATTTGCTATAGCAATAGTATTTAAGCGAACATAGTGCAATTTTCTACACCTTTCGATAGTATTAACTATTTAAATTGTTTTTCATTTCTTAATATACTTGTATTCCGGGTCGTAGAACATCTTATTCACAACCCAAACCTAATATTTCATTATTCAGTTCCGCTCGAAAAGAAAGGTAAATATCAAATAAAAACTTGTTTTCATAACATCAGCTTTGATGCCCATGCCTTCATATAGCTTACGATCAGAAACCAGACTATGCTTTTGATTTCCTAGATTATGAAGTTTTAACCGAAGCAGAAACCAGAAAACCTTATAGACAACAGATTGACAAAAATCCTTTCATTTAATCAGAGCTAAAACGTTTTACTTTTCTATAACAAATGTGCAATGCGCAGCACAAACTCTGTTTAATACTGAGTTGCTGCTAGAGAAACAACCCAAAACTTGGCTAAGATTCTCCGATTCGTTTTATATTTTACCCATTAAATATATCAGCAAGATATTTCCTAGCAATCAATTGACTTAACACTCTCATAAATATGTTCGTAGAATCTTGAGACGTAACAAATATTTCTTTTGCCGCCATTTGCTCTGAACTCAGTCATATTCGCACTCGGGGCTTTGAACTCTTGCCTCTGCAGGAATTTATCACCTATGTATCTGCATGTATATATGAATTCAGCACACACACAAACAGAAATTACGGCTATAACTGGGGGCTGGGCTCAGACATGGTTATTTATAAATACGCACACACACACATGAAGAGCGGAAACGGTAAAGCAAATGCATGAAGAAAAAAAAAAAAACAACTATAAAAAATGCATAATAATGAGTAAAAGTGCGAGAAGTGTGCGTCTGCTTGACTCTGAGGTACCCTGTAAGCAGTTCAAGAACAACGTTAGTTAATAAAATATGTTAAAGAATTCAATTGAATTGAATTAACGATATCGATAACATTAATCGATAAAAACGTACATTAATCGATGGGCAAGGGCATATCAAAATGTTTCATAGAAGGTTTATTGGAATTGTAAAATTCGCTAATCGATTTCGATTTACAATTTACCTACAAGAGGGGATTGGGGATATTGTGCGAAGCACCTCACAAGTCAATTTGCGAAAGATCTTTGAAAATGAATTTGAATTCGATCGAAAAATGAAAAATGTTCCACGCTTGCGTGTGGAATTAGCCAAAGCCCCGTCTATAACGCCTCGCTTATTCGGCTTGAGCTCTGCCTTGATCAACGATTGTTGATCAGTCAGTTAGTCAATCAATCAGTCAATCAATCAAGCAGCTTGTCAGCCAGTTTTCACAAGTTTTTATATGTGAATGCCTTTCAACCAAAGGCACAGGACTGACCCCTCTTGGCTGGCGTATTGGTTACAGGGTATAAAATAAGACACGCTAACTGCTTGACGCGCTTTCAACGCACTTGTGTGTGTGTGTGTGTGTGTGTATGTGTGTGTATGTGTGTGTTCTAGTTGAAGTGCGACTAAAAATAAAGAGCCAGCAAATATTTGTCTTAATTATTGCATAAATGTCATTCGCTGCGCCAGAGAGGGCGAGTCTAGTTGTGGCAGCACTTGGGGCTATGATAGATAGATTTATGGGGTTTTATTTTCGTTTTTTTTTTTTTATTTGTTTTTTTCTGGACTGTTGTTGTAGTTGTTGGTAGTCTAATGGCGCCGAGTGCCCAGGATGGGCGTAACCTTGAAAAGCGTTTTGTAATTTATTTACATTAAATATTTATTAACCATTGTTGGGCGACAAATAAAAAACAAGAGGGCGCCATTAAAAAATAGCTGAGGCAGTTGACGAGAGGCTGAGAAAGAGAGTAGGGGGGGTGGGGGGTGGGCAAGGCAGAGAGAGGGAGGGCAAAGGTTAATGCATTAATGAATGAAGAAAGAGGCCAAAATGCAGACGGGAACTTGGCAAACAAGAACAGCTAAAAAACTAGCCGACCATCAGATACCCTTACACACATATAGTATGCGGCCAGGCAGAAATGCTAGAAAAATCAACATCAGGATCCTATGAAAGAAAAGGAGAGTTCCTTCATACAGAAACTGATATACAAGCTTATGAAATAGTGATCCGTGGTTGACAAGATATTGCTCACAAGTGAGTCGAATGATGTTTGATTCAGATTTCTTAGAATCTTCTGCCGACTTAACTGACTTGGCTGCGGATCAAGAGTATATATACTACAACATATTCGAAGGCAAATTTATATTATTCTCTATCTAATGAAAGGCATCAAAAGTTGATTGCACGCATCGCACAGGTGAAAGACGGCGGCTCGCGGAGCACATTCCACCTGCTGTGCTGCACAGCTTACAGCCCAACCAAACCACCTCTCCCCCCCCCCCCCCCCCCCCCACTCTACGCATCCGCTCGACAATCTTCTCTGTACGGCTCATCCTAATCTGGCACGGGGCACTTTAAAAACACTTACTGTAAATAAAAACAACGAACGCGTCGCTTTCTTAAAGGGACGACAACTACATTTGCTTATCGGATTTAACAAAACCTACCTTTCCCCCCACACCACCAACCCTCCGCTGCCCCCGACCCCTGAGCATGGGCCACTTTTCGGCTTTGAGACGCAGCAGCAGCAAAAAGCGTATGGCAAAAGGCGAATGATCAAAGCGCCGGATTTATAGGATTTATGCGCTACCCTTGGCTGGGCTCAGCGCATTAGCAGGGTGAACCGTCCCGGGCGAGGGGGGAAGCGGGGGGTATGCGGGGCGGGTGGTTAATACCAGCAGGGCAGTAAGCCCTGACAGAGCGAGAGAGGGGAGCTAGCGCTTTGGCTGGTTACAGCAAACACTTAACGCCTCGCAGTCCATTTAATGGAAATTTGTCGCCGGCCCAAAACTGACAAATGGACAAACGTTGCGACGTTGAACGGAACGTTGGCAACAACTGGTCAAAACGGGGGTCGGAGGCAGCTAGCCGAAGTTGAACCCAATCCTCTCTCCCCCCCCCCCCCCCCTGTGATTCCCCTTGTCATTTGTTTGCATGGTGCGCTAAATGGATGGCCGGCAGTGCCGTTAATTTGATTTAAATATTCATAAACTGCATTAAATGGCCGCAACAAATGTGCCAATTAAACGGGCCACAAACCAATCAAAATGCGATCGAAAGTCCAGTTGGTCAACCAGCTGCCAGATACCCTGTAAAAAGCGTGCAGCTCGGGCTGGCACAAGACCCTAAAAGAAATCAAGTAAGGCTAGAAAAGACCCTGAATCCAAGCTGTCCTTACAATCATGCTAGCTTTCTGGTCTGCTTCTTCTTCTTGCCTTTACACTGTGCGAAATGCAGCGTAGATTTACTTCAGTATTTGTAGTCCGACCGAAGCTCTACCCCTAAAAACTATTTATTCCTTTCAACTTTTGAGTGGAATGGGGCTCTTAAATATTTCAAGCTATGGCTATAAAATCATTACTCAAAATCGATATTTACTTATGCTGGGAAAACAGCAGGAGATATCAAAAGATAATTATAGACAGAGGAAATCAAGTTAGTTATATATCTTGGGGTGGGTGCCGAGCTTAGTGAACCTTTTGCCTATGCATAGAACAACGCACACTGTTAAAATTTAAAATCATTTTTGCTCAGTTATTATTAATTGCATTGTGCATTAGTGTGCATTAGAGCACATTAGAGTGCAAACATATAATGTTGGCTTTTAGCAACAATTCCAGTTGAAAGTTTGGATAACTCGATTAATTACATCAAATGTTAACCCTGAGACATTCAAATTTTATACCTTCAAAAATAGATGTAAAAGAAGGCAATAATTACTTTGCAGCCTGCCAAAATGTTTCGTGTGGCCACAAGCAATGTCCAATATATTGCCTGAGTTGATCCCAACAACAATCGATTCAACAATGGACTGTCTGTCAAGTACAAGTAGTTCGCCAGAGCAGGACAGCTAAAGATAGATAGAAAATCCAAAAATGTCGCCCAGATACTCCTCAAACGATGCCAAGACCAAGCAATAATAGCTCATTATGCAACATAATACTTTTAAAGAAAATTCAGCTTGAATATTACGTTCGTTTTCTGCTTTATTTTCTCTTAACTTAAATTAAAATTTCATGGATTTCTTCTTTCCTCAAATTTAACATTAACTTAACAGGCAGCTTATCAGGCAGTTAAGTGTTTGAACAAATACAAAAAATAGCGCTGCCACCTGGCGCAACAAAATTACTTAAGCTGTGTTGCCAACTTGTCGTTTGTTGCGGTGTTGCCAACTGAAGTCACCCCTCAGCTGCATAAGTTGCGGTTCGCAACTCCGAGCTGAATTAAAGCCTGTCTGTGTGTGAGCTCGTCCATCAAACTATCAGAGCTTTAGACTTGAAACGAACAATAAATTATCTATATATATATGTATATTCTATATAACTTGAAGATTATCAGTTGTTCAGGCTCTCGTGTGGTATATACAGTTTACAAATATTTCACATTTCACATTTTGCTTAGCTTACCTCAACGACCCCAAACCAAAGGAAAGCATGTTTAGGAAAACATCTGTCATGATGAGAAGCAAATCGAAGAGGAGTAGCAAATGCTAGGCGCTGAGTTGAGGGTATCTGATAGTCGTTCAGCGCCGTTTAGAGCACTCTTACTTGTACTTTGCATTAGTTTTTGGCTGCACTCGAGCGACGCAATCGATAAAATTCAACATTCATTCAACATTCATTGCGTATCTGTTTACACACATCATAAATATTAAATGGCTGACAAGCAGAAAAAAAAAATAAAAAAAAAGTAACCCACACACACACGCGTGCAGAGCGAGAGTGAAAATAACACATAACAAGACAGCAAAAAAAAAAAAAAAACAAAAAAATAAATAAAAATAAAACAAAACAAACAAACTAAGTGCGAAAGAAACAGAGCATCCAAAAAGGGACGCAGCGAGCAGGCAGCAGTTGGCTTGATTAATTTATAACACTAATAAAGAATTTATGTCCAAGTGTCAACCTGCACTGCGGCCTTAAAGCACCAACCGCCCGCCAGCCGCCTTCTCCTCTCTCTCTCTCTCTCTCTCACACACACACTCACTCACTCTCTCTTCAGCCAGCCACACTCGAGTGAGGTCAAGAAACACACAGGAAATAACAAACTCGCATTTGGGCCAAGCCACGTTTCTGGGCCAGTCGGCGGCGCGGTGGCTCGGTGTCGGTCTGGGCGATAATTTGATGAATGACTGCGCATATTAATTCATAAATTAATTTGTTTTCATGCCTGCATTGGCCAGGCGTTTTAGTTAAAGCAACGGTTTTGCTATTTCCGTGCGTACCCCAAAAACAAAAAAAAACCGTTGCCTACTTTTCAGGGCGAGGCCACAAATTAATCATTTGCCACTTTTGTGGCGGGCCCGCGACCAGGCACTTGTTTTTTTTTTTTTTATTAATGATACGTACATTTTAAATAGATTCCACTTAAGTTGTTTCAATTAGCTTAGGCTAGGTCCGCTTAAAATGCCTGTCAGCTTATATTTGCCTTATTTGTAGTAATTATTGTGCATGATTTAATGCAATTAAATATATTTGATGGCCAGGTCTTTGACTAGCTCTGGAATTCAGTTGTTGCAGTTGCCCTTACTTTTTGCTAAATGGATCTGCCCATCGCATTTCACTTAATTAACTTTTTTTTGCATTGCTTTAAGAATTCGAATCACTTCTGCAATGCCTTCTGGCTGCAGTCTTGAATTATATTTAACGAAACCTAAAACCGAATCCGTAGCCCAACAGCAAACAATCTAAAAAGACACATGTCTGAAGGCAGAAACCCGAACGGACCAGGACAACAGTACATCTAAAGCGCATTTCTCGACGTGTTCCTTTTGATATGGTAGTCGGATGTTGATAAGACAGCTTCTTGGTATATTCTGCCGATCTGATTTGCAAACAAAAAGACGGAAAGTTTTTACTACTTTGCATGGAAACAAACAGAGGGATCAGATCGAGAGATCGATCTATGCTTAATACCGTGAAAAATCTCTTATACTCTGCTTAGCACATCTCATGACACATTTATAGAGCCTGCGGCAGGGATTGATTGCTTGGCAAGAGGCCCGACCAGGAGCTTATGATCTGGCTTGGGTTTTTTGGCTGGTTTCTCGATGGGTTAAGGGCTAAGACCCTTAAATAGGACGAGATTTGCTATGGGCCTAGTATGTTTAATTGCCAGCTACAAGATGGTTATTCCAATTTTCAAGCGGCGTGCCGATTGACGTTTTAATGAATCCTGCAAATAGAGCCGTGAGATTGAGCCATCGCGGCAGGCTCTGCCTAGCTAGAACTAGCCATTTGTACTCATATGCCGAGCATGTTGGATGGTGGAGGGGGGGGATGAGACAACACTTGAGCGTAGTCCTTTCTGTGCGGCAATCGGTATTTATTGTGGTCGTGTCCTGTGCAGGGGCTGTGTTTTTGGATCGCTGCCAACATCTGGCAGGGAAATATTATGGCCATTAGCCGGCCAGTGTTTTTGTCCAAATGGGGCAAGCAGGGCAAACAAACAGTTGCCACGCCCAACATTGAGGGCACACTGGACAATGGCTAAGGATACGCTGCACTTGTCGGAGGATAACGTGGCGCAAGCAAGGTGCATTAAAAATGCGCAACATTTTGATTTCTTGAATGGCCACCGCACGGCTATTGCGGTCGTCCTGCGGGTGAGCCGAAGCCGTCGTCGAGACGCGCCGAGTGCTGACCGAAGGTCCTTGCTAGCCATTGTAATTGCCGTTTTGTTGGTATTACTCCTTTCGCTGCGGCAACTTTCGCCCACCAAATGAGCGACTGGCATGTGCCTGCGTGTCCTGTTTGTCCTGTCTGTCCTGCTCCCTGCTGCCGTCGCCGTCGCATTTTCAAGTTTTGTGCGCATCTAAATAATTGATTAACTGTAAAATTCGTGCGCGTTACACACACACACACACACACACACACACACACACACACACACACACACATACACACACATTGGCATTCACTTGCCAGCATATAAAATCGATATGACTGACGGCATAAGGACCACAGCGGCGACATCGGAACATTGCCGGCAACCAAACAAGCGACAAGATATTTTTGTAAATTATTTATTTGCAACCGTAGTTGGCGTGGGTCCGGCGGTCACTGAGAAATCAATACTCAAGCACAAGATGTGAAAATGATGCGACAGCTTCAGAAATGTTGTCTTCGGCTTTAAGCAACATATCTGACAATTTGTATACAATCTTGGCAATAGTTGCGTGTGCATATTATTGAAGTCTGGCAACACTGCGATCCCAAAATTCATGTCATATTTACCACCTAGTTGAACCACACGGTAAGCTATGCTAATATTACGTAAAGGATATGCAAATACCTAACAAAATGTTGTCTTCGACTTAAAAAGCATATCTCTGGCAACATTGTCATATCAATTTTCATGGCAAATACTTACCAAGCAGTTAGACCACACGGTAAGCTATGGCAATAAGATGTGCAAATCATGCAACAGCTTCAGAAATGTTGTATTCGGCTTTAGGAAGCATATCTCACAACCCCTTATAAAGAATCATTTCCTGCTACCACATGTGCATATTACTGAAGTCTGGCAGCATTGCGGCTCAAATGTTTATGGCATATATGTAACATCTATTTGAGCCACATGGTAAGCGATAAGTAAAAATAAACAAAAGTCGAATGGGAGACTCGTTAAGTTTTTTTTCCTAGCTTGTTATAATAAGAATATATAATTAGCTTAACTAATTTTTTTAAAATTGAATAATCCCTCCGCATCTACAACTGGTAAACTAACAAGCAAATGCATAAAATTCAATTTATAAATATACATATTTATAAAGATAGATAGTTGGCTTCATCCTGTTGATGCTACATAGCATTGAGAATGTGCAGTATATCGTGTGCTTTCATTTGATCCCCTCATCAGGTGATCTGACTGTATATACTCGCCCATACACATTTACATGCATATGAATCAAATTGATATTCGAATTTGATGTTATCCCTGTTATCCCTGTAAAAACTCGTACATACATATACTATCCTTGTTTGTCTCGTCTTTTCAGAGTCGTTTATTAGAAGATGCTTCCCTATTATGCAATTCGTGGTCAGCACGTCAGAATGTAAGTTAATCCACAGTCAAACACACATCCAAGTCCACCACAAAACACACACACACACACACACACACACACAGAGACACGAAAAAGTTTGACTTGATTTTCATGTTCTATTTAAAAAACAAAAACCTTTATCAACTTACTTTAACAACATTCGATTCATTTGTTATACGATATACGCTGACAGATCTGATCTGATCTGATCTTTTCAAGATATATTACCTAGTTATGCCAAATTTTTTGATGTGGGCTCCATCTTTGTCATATTTGTTTTTTCTTCGTATGCTTTTGATGTTTCCAGTTCCTGTTCAAATCTATATATTTATATATATATATATATACATATATATTTTTCAAGTATTTTCTCACCGATATGTGCCTAATTGCCATTTAATATTCACTTTGTTTCTCGTTCGATACAGGGTGATATTTTTGCGGGTATCAACGACGGCATACTCAGCAGAGCGGAAGCCCTCGCCGCCGTCGACATACAGAAACACCAAGCCCAGCATGTACATAGCCAAATGCCCTCCCAAATCAAGCACGATGTGATGTACCATCATCATACAATGAGTGGCCCCCCGCAACGTCCATTACAGGTGAGTTTCGCTGAAGAAATTAGCAAAACTATATGCTTCGAATATTTATTTAAAAATTAGTTTTTAAGCAAATGAACTACAATATACTTGTAATTCTCGAGTTCGGCTTAAGGAATCATGTGCCCAAATCGATATTTATCGATATTATGGAATTGAGATAAGATATCGATAACAGCCAAATGATAAACTCTTTCAAATGCCAAGTCCCTCGACGAGAGCGAAGCTCATACAGGCGAATAGTTGAATATGATTTAGCTCGATCTCGTCCTGATCAAGAACATATATACAACTTATATCTTATATATATATATATAAGATATGGCTCTTTGCTAACCAATTTCCGTGGAAACACTATTTCAATACAAATAAGGCTTGAATACGGAACAAACTTAAGTCGAAATGGGCAAGTATATAAATTATAGGCAATGGAATAATTTCTAGAGGTCAGCAAATTCTACGTTTTAGCGGGAATTGCAAAGGAAATGTTTCAGCGAATTGTTGGGAATTAGACGTATATGTCAAATGGTTGGTTGCATTGTGGCCTTCTAATTGGCCACCTTGTGGGCGGGTATTCCTGTGTGTGCGTGTGTGTGTGTGTATGCGTGTTTGTGTGTATGTCGGATATGGGATATTATCCGTTTAGCTGTGTAGCATTTTATGACAGTCATTTTGATTACAACAAAAAGCTACAACAATGACAACGGCGACAACTTCAATTTCCGTTTTTGGCGGTCACATGCGTGTTGTATATTTATATATATATATGTGTGTGTGTGTGTGCGTGTGTGGTTAATTTGAAATGTTTCTTTAATAAAATTAAAATTGTGACGTGTAAGCCTTCTGGGAACGGGCCACGTGACGGTCGTTTGCCAGGTAAGCACATCATGATTCGTGTCGTTAATTGTATTGCACCGCGCTACCTCAGCTCGGGGCGGGCCCTACCCCGGCCGTACCGCACGCTCCTCGTCCGCTTGTCGACGTGGCAGAGTCCTGTACTCAAATTTGATCTGTGGCAGGGGCAGGGACAGCAACAGCAGCAGCAGCAGCAGCACAAGTGGCATACGCCTTGACGATTCCTCTGTACGGTCTGACATGTGGGTACCCGCTGCTCCGGTACGGCTGGTGGTTGGAACTCTATTAGAAGTTGATTGTAATCAAATTACACAAGCAACCTGTTTCTATATCTCCGCCTAGTTGTTGGCCAGTAGTTATATTTTCCACTTCTAGTTGTTATTATTGTTGTTGTTGTTGTAATGCCACTTGTTTTCGGCACAATCGAGCATGACGAAAATGCGCGCTGTCCACGCGCCGTCGCCGCCGGTGGTTGGTTGTGGTTCCCATTCCCATTCCCATTCCCATACCATTTTTTGGCGTACGCCCGTGTGTGCTTTAATTTTCAGCAAAACACTCGCAACACACACACTTGAGTCTGAGAATTTTACCCTATTCGTTTCGGGTTACCGCCTTGGGTCTCAGGTGCAACAACCTTCCACTCTGTCCTGGGACTTGAGCATCCCAATGCAATAGCAATAAAATCCACTCACCCCCACCTTGGCTAACTACGGAAGCTCATTACTTTCTGAACATATTGAAATCCTCTCAGCTTGAGTCAGAAGTTGGCTATAGCTTTTCCCTGGCCATTGGCCAGAGCTCCATACAGAAACTGAAAGGTTCGCCAACTGACATGACAAATTGTCATGCTATACAGTCATGCTATATCAGTTAAAGGGAGTATATTGATTAGAGTATTATATTGTAACTACGTGCAGTTGAGGTGAGGGCAACTGAAAAGTCCAACGAAAGAAAGTTGAGATACTTTCTGAGATACTCTAGGGATTCATGTGCGCTCGAGACTATGTCTGGCCGCATTTTCATTGCTTCTAGTTTCCTTTTCGTTGCTTCTAATTCTCAAGTGGTTATAGGTTCAAGCTGAGGCGACTCCAGGGAGATGAAAGAACTAGAAGTTTCCTGAAAGACAACCGACTCACTTCTGGTGAGAAGCGACTACCTTGTTATGGCCTAGAGGTAGGATCGGCTTCAAACTAAGCACAAAAACAAACTGACATATTTATGGTCAAGGTCAGGCAATTCGATCGAGCCGTGAATGGAATCGGCGACAGATTTGCTTGCCGCCCCGATAAAAAAGATGCATGATACTTGGCATTTGGTTAAATGTATTTCGAAGAGTACTTGAATAGGCAGCAAACTGGTTTCGATGGCTTGATTAGACGGGCCCGCGTCGCTGGCCTGGACTGTTGGTTCCCAGGACCCGACGCCATATGCTCCACATTCAAGGACAAGAGCTGCGCGACTTGGCGCCTGGTGGGAGCACCGCCAGCAGTTCCGCCAACATTTGGTCTTTTTTTTTTTTTTTTTTGAAAGTTGATCAAATTTATTGTTTTGGTCATACCTGACGTGGTATCCCACGTCAAATATTTAGGCTTTTGCAGTTCGACAACTTTGACAATTTGTGAAAATTTTGTGTTTCGTGATGATGGTCGTGTTTGATGGTGCTCTTTGCTCCTCGTCGATAGTCAGAGACTAGTGTTAAGTTCATGTGTGTGTGCGAGAGAGTGTGTGTGTGTGTGTGTGTGTGTGGTTTTTTGTGGTTTTATTTTTTTTTTTTTTTTGTTTTGTTTGGTGGTGGTCAGTGAGAATGACCTAGTCGGTTGCAGGTGTCCTCAGCGTGGGGTAGACGACAGCCGGCGACCGTTTGGATTCTGTCCCTTACAGTTGCAATTGCAATTGCAGCAGCGATATTCCTCGCCCATATTGTATTGGGCATCGTATAGAGCATTGGCAGCCGCATCGACGGCGTCCTGGAATTGCATGTCCTGCATATCCTGCCTGTCCTGGTGCCCGCTGCTGTTCAGTTCCATTCCGCACAGCGTCTCCTTGTGGCCATAATAGAAATCAGCGTATTGCAAACGCCGGCGCTCAAAGTTGGCCAGATAACGACGCCATTGGCGCTCGAAATGGGCAAATGAGAAGTCCTCCTCGCCGCCCCTTTCCGTGTCGCCCATCTGCTCGTCCATGGTCGAGCTGGGCCTGGACTTGCCGTTGGCACCAGCGTTGTGGTTTGCTGCCATTTCTCGAGTCAAGTTGGATGTTGGAAATAACCAAATACTTTGTAGATCTCTAACACATGTTATGAATAAGCTGAGAATGCTTTTAAATAACTGAACGCACATTTCCCCTGTTGCTTTGCCTCCAACACAGCCCTGACATCGAACACTTTGCAGTCTAGATTTCTAAGAAACAAACATCCAGGCTGTTGCAACTTATCCGAGCTGAATGTCAGTCAATATATGGAAAACTTTTTTGTTTATCAAAATATCTTGACCAAACTCGGCATTTATTAGTTTCAGCATGCTGCCCATATATTTGCGAAATCCTATCAATATCGGACTACTATATCATATAGCTGCCATAGGAGCGAGTGGTCGAAAGTTAAGTTGTTGTATGGAAAACTTGTTAATATTTCAAGATATCTTGACCAAACTCGCCATTTACAAATTTCACTGTAATCCCTACATGTACGCAAAATCCTAACAATATCGGATCACTATATCATATAGATGCCATGGGAACGATCGGTCGAAAAGTAGTTTATATTGGGTTGGGTACTTATATTATATTATTAATGTTGAAGCATTTCCTCATTGTAGTTGCATGTACCTTGATTCGATACATAGAATATGGATTTGCTAGCTTCGCGGTCGCTTGTAATTCTCAACAAGTTCGATCGAGATAAGCTGCTTGCAATCCTAGAGTAAAAGGCAAAGTTTGCTGATGACATTTATTTATTAAATTTATGGAGAGACTACGTTATTTTGAAAATAAATAAATTAGCTTAATGATGTTAATTATTATGAATACAAAAGATAAAAAACATTAACTGCGAGCTGTAGAGCATACACATATTATAGTTTGTTTCATTTCCACTTCATTCCACTCTTAAGACATTCATTTAAGACCTATTTTACGCTCATCTCAATCTGCATCTATAATTTAAGTTCTTCATCCCAGATAGAGCTTTTCTGATAGCTGCCTAGAAAACTATCAACTCATTTAAATTTCAGTTAACTTCACTTTCATTCATTCAATATGGCGCCAAATTGTTCCAATTCCAATTAGTTCCATTCTACTTACTTGCATGCTATTATTTCTATTAAATGTCGTTTCCCTTCCAAAACTTTCCACTAATATTATTCTACTCCTCCGTCCACCTGACTTCTGTTAAATTCACATTTGGAATCCCAACTGGTTTCAAGTTTCATTCCAACCGTTCCACTTTGAGTTTCATTCCATTGCCGCAATCTAACCAACTTTGAAGAAGTTCTGATGGATCCCGCTGCCTTTTACCTGTTCCGGCAGCAACCCCTGCCGCACCCCTTCTTTGCCAGTAACCCACACACCCCCCCCCCCTCCTCCTTGGTAAATGTAAGTTTAAAATTTTCCACTTGATTTGATGGCTGCTGTCTATCAATTCCGGTAACATGTGTCATAAGCGTTATGCGAGTGCCATAAAATTCCCCTACCCCAGGCCCCACCCCCCCTGTAAAAAACATAACAAAAACTCATTAAATTAAAGTAATTTACGGTAGAGCAACCCACCCAACCGCCTCCCCTTCGCCCCTTCTTACGACAACGTGCCCTTGCCCTCTCGTTCCTGGCCAGCCACAAAATGTGCAAGTTTTGCGAGCATATGAAAAGCCAATTATGAGCGCTACGAAAAGGGTAAATATATTATATGAGAGCCAAATATAATGCTAATTAAAATAATCATATCCATCATAAAATTCAATGAGGGCGGGGGGCATACGGCCATACGGCCAGGGGTGGGCTGACAGGTTGCCAGCATTTGTAACAATTACAAATGAGAGCAACAACAACAATAAATATTATCAATTTTCTGGGCAACGATGCAGCAGCAGAAAGAGGGGGGGGCAACAGCGGGTCCAGGTTGAGTGGCAAGGGGATGGCGGGGCGGACAAGTA